TTGATCTATTTATAGTTGACAAGGTGACAACAATCACGTTGAAAAACCATCGATTTATGGTTGAGCGGGAAATTAAAGCTGCTACCACTTGGACTATTCCATAGCACCCCTCTCACAGTGGTACGTCCCATCAGGCTGCGGGAAAATTCCATTTAAGCTCAGCAGAGTTGACCGGACGTTTTGTCAGAACACCGGAGACACAGTCGGAGTTTGTGCACGACACTCTCGGCTTTATCAGATAAGAATGTGAGAATTTAGTTATTCGTTATTGGAAGGTCGACGTATGTATGATATTACTAAAGCTAACTTAAACAGAAGGAGAAAAGTATAAATTTCATAGACAACACCAACGCTGAACAAAGAAAACATTTCCATGACCCACATTCATGTCTTTCCGTTATAAGGCGATTTGCTTTTGTTAGCCGTGCGGTCGGCTTGCTCTCGCTCTATGGCTGCTGTATACAGAGTTAATTCCCACAAACGATTTACAAATGTGTGCAATATGATCCAGAAACGTAAAGTTGCCGCTACAAATGCATACAATGCGTGTGTTACTTTTGAAGCTTTGACCGCACCGGTTTTCATTTATAAACACGTGAAAGAGTCACCTGAGACCGAATGATCACGTGACATGCCCACGTGACTTTACATTTCCGCGACTTTAATAATGAACGTTCCTACCTGGAGCTTATCTTGAATAACATTATTTTCCTCTTTTTATTGACATTGTTTTTTTTCCATTTTCTCATTTCAGATCAGTAAAGTACAATCGACCCATAAACAAGTAAGATACTCGTGTCTTCAAATTATTGCTAGTTTTTAACCATTTTTGTGTGATGTAAATTTTACTGTAACTTAAAGCAAAATAAACAAAAAACACAATACTGATGTTTTGTTTTCTTTCAGACCAAATCCCTTATACAGTTACAGACTGATGATGAGCAACCTCCAAAATCAAAGGTTTCCCCAGGCCCCACGTGTGAAAGTACCAGGTAATAATGTAATGTTTAGTGTGTGTATATATGTGTGTGTGAGAACAGGAACCTCTGTAGACGAGTTGTATGTCATTTTTAATTTTTTAAACATTTTTCTATACAGGCTCCACCACTCTGCAGTCTGCCCCCCAACTCACTTCTAGCAACCATCATGATGCTCGGGCCAGCTACCGGCTCCTTTCGCCAACCTACACAGCTATGCGACCTCCCCAGCAAATAGTCTGTGTTCAGTACCTTCTCTAATGACGGTATGCTTTGAAACAATAAGCTGCATCACAATTTCATTGTAATCTTAACTTCAAAACACTAATTTATGCTGCTGAATATCATCATATTTTGCTTTGCTATCATATACCATTTATATGTAAAAGGCTAAATTGTAAACAGTTTTAACAGATTGAACTACTTAAACCTGAATGCAAAATGTGAAGCCATCACTTATGGATATAGTCTTTTTTTTTTCATCACAATGCTTATCCAGTTTATCACAAGCCAGTATTCTTTGTGTTATTGTTCTTGTCAACAGATGCAGCCTTCCAAAAACGTAATCATGATAAACGAGCTGATCAGAGAAGTCGGGGACTTCCGTGAGGAGTTCAGAGCCTTCGGTTAATCCTGCAGCACTGACCCTGTTGATGCTGGGGTATTGCCTCTGGATTAGCCATTTAACAACATAGATGAGATGAAGTGCAATGACCGGAGGTGAATAAAGCAATGGTAAGTTCTTAAAGGTTCTGGTACTTTTGTAACCCAGAACTTTAGAAATTGTCAAATTCAGTTAAACTGCTTAAAATGGCCTTCTCCTGTATGTTCTGATTGAATATACAACAGCAGGCTATCATTGGGAGATCCAACAAATAGAAATAGAAATAGAAATACATTTCACTGCCAGTAGTTTGGTTTATTCATTATTAGAAAATTAGGCTTTGAGCTTCTCAGCTAATGGCTCTTTGAGAATCAAAGTGATGCAGCAGTTTGCTGACTTTTTCCTTGTGACTTTCATATTAATCCCATAATTTCTCCCTGCTGAAGACAACTGACAAGAGGTTATTCATATTTAAGCTCTAATTTGGCCTTTTTCCCCTTCTTTTTGTGTTTGTGTCCTAGATGGCCTGACTCAGCCGGTGGGGTAAACGCTGTTTCTGAGTTTGCCTTCGGCCAAGCTGTGCAGAGATGTCTCCTCTACGCTCCAGATCACATGGGTGGTGCAGGATGCCCGATATCCAGCTCGATCCCTGAGTAAACTTAAAATAAAATAATAGGTGACCTGTAACATAGAAACTTTTTTTTCTTAATGTAATAAATTACTTTGTTATTGATACAGATGTATGTCATTTTTTTATTTCATAATGCCAGATGCTTCATATTATAGGAATATTATTATGGACATGACAAATTGTATTGTTGTTTCAATAGTAACCAAGGGTGCGAAGTGATGGAAAATCAACATCAGACTTCAACAGCGATTCAATATCTGACATTGTTTCAATGTTAAAGGGTGCAAGAGTGACGTTAGGTCAACGTCAGATTTCAACAGTGATTCAATAGAATCACCTGATATTGACTAAACATTGAAACGATGTCTCCTTGCTATCTGGGGATAGAGCACATTTCATTCATAATGTTGTCAGTCCAAGCCCATCATGTATTCATGATTTGAAATGTGTGAAATCCCAGAAATAAACCCTAGACAAAGTGAATCTGTGAACGAAGGTGTAGGTCTGTTAGGTTATGTTGTGGTGATCCTTGGGTTGGGGAATGGGTGTTCATACTGGAGTGCAAAATTAAATCAGAATCAGTTTATTGCCAAATGTTGAGCAGGTTTACAACATTAGGAAATTGCTGCGGTGCTTCAGTGCAGACATAGTGTTATAAATTGCGATTAAATAGACATGAAAAAAAAAATAAAAGTAGGAATAAGAATTAAAAGTGCTATGTAGAAAGATATGTGCATGAGATATACATGAGATATATACATGAGAATAAGAATTAAGAGTGCTACGTAGAAAGATATATACATGAGTGCAGGTGGTGATCAGTGCCAAACATGGAATGATGCAG